CCCCCCCGCCCCGGTGCCAGCCCCCCCCCCCCCCAGCCATGCCCCAGCCCCAGCCCTGGTGGGATGCCGGCCGCCCCACGGTGCCGGCTGCTGGCACGGGGCCTGTCCTGGCTCCGGCCCTGCTTCCCAGCTGCTCCCAACTCAGCCAAAGGTCCTGGGACAATCTGCGGCATCTGGGGCACTGGGAAGGGGGTGGGTAGGATTGGGATGGGGGTGGCATTGGGGAGCAGCAAGCACCCCCAGCGGCTGGGACAGAGATGTCCCCAAAAGGGATGTGGGGCAGCTGGGATCAGAGCATCCTGCAACTTTTGGCACAACTCAGTCCTCCCCATCCCCACGAATGCACCCTTGCTGCCCGTACCCCTGCCCACACTCCTGCCCTCGTGGGTGCTGCTCCTGGGTGCAGCGGCTCTGCGGTTTTCCAGATCCGCTCGTCTGTGGCAGGGTGGGGGCTTGGCGACAGCTCCCCCCCGAGATCCCCTCATCCTCCAGCAGCTTCGCTGGAGAACGTTCTCTCTTTTGGGGTGTGGGGGTGCTGGGCTGGGGGTGCTCCCGGTGGGGACAAGGAGTGAAACAGCCCCATCTCACTCAGGGGGCAGTGGGACACCCCCCCACGCATGCTGGCAGGTCCCCCCTCCCCAGCCTGGCTCCCCGGGGGACATCGGGTACAGGTTGGGGCTCTGGCCCCCCCAATGACACTTTGTGGGGTGCAGCGGGGAGCCGGGCCATGACCCAACCCCACTAGGGCTGGGGGGACAACCTGGATGGGGGGGGGGGGAACACAACACAACGATGACACTCAGGACACCTCAGCCCTCCCCAAACACTCTAAAACCCCCAAGATTGAACCATGGGTTGCCCCAACCCCAGGGGGACCCCAAAACCAGCCCCCTCACGGGGCCTCCGTGTCCCCCTCCCAGCGTGGGGGGTAAAAATAACCACGGCAGCAAGGGCTGGCGCAGGGCAGTGAGCACGAGGAGGCCCACGCGCCGTTCACGTGCACCACGCCAGGGAGGAAGAGGCCCCACGGCGCTGGGGAAACCGAGGCATGAAACCAGCCCGTGGCTGTGGGGGTGGGGGAGCACCCCCCCCCAGCTCTTTTTTCCTAGGGGATTTGGGGCAGGTCCCCCAACCCCACACTGAAATCCCTGCAGCAATTCCTGGTCCAAA